TCCACATTTGCCTTGCTCTCCCTCAAACCTCACTTATAAAAAAACCCAAATTTACATCAGCTAGCACACATTAAACCAGCCTTCCTTCTTGAGCTTTTGTTTCTCTCTCTAGAGCCCTGAGACTCTCTCTGCTTGCATGGAGTACTTGGAAACCAACTTGAGAGAATTAGATAATTTTCCTTTGATTTCCACCCTTCTCTATGGTTCTTCAAACCCTCTAAAATTGATGAAACCAGAAAACCCTCCTCCCACCACCATCAAAACCACTACCACCGATGGGAATCTTTATTCTCTCTCTAGATCCTCCCCATCACCACCCAGTTCTCCTAAGGCTTTGTTTCATCACCCCAATTCCATAAATCATGGGTTTAATCGCATTTCTCATTCCCATGAGTACAATCTCACTCCAAAGACTGATCACTTCACCACCACTGAGGCCGGTTCTTCATCCAACCCCTTCAGCAAGATTTCAACCACATGCAACACCCTTAATAACCCCTTTGAACCTTCACCTTATACCCCAAATTATCACCGCCATCATTTCGTGACATCCGATTGTGGCGAAAGCGAATTGGTTGCGATGCATGGATTTCATGGTGGTGTTAGAGGCTGTTTGGGTTATCCTCCCGACCATCAAGAGATTCCTCATGACCAGCAGATGGGGGCAGAAAGCTGTGTGCAGCTCCCACCATTGGTAATTTATGGTGAATTCGGGTCCTCATCAGCTCCAGCGATGCGTCTGCATTCAGATGATATTCCAAGGCTCTCAGCTGATGAAAAGAAGAACAAAAGGTTGTGTGAGGGAGGAGCCATCAAACTCCTGCACAAGAAACCTGATATAATAAAAGGCCAATGGAGTCCTGAGGAAGACAGGTATTTGCTTTTCCTGATTTTAGTAGATTATTTGGTTAATCACAGTGTTGATTTTTATTTTCTTCATGTATTTTTCTGAATTTGGAGGATATACGATGCTTAAATCTTTTTTTTTAAGAAGTCGAATTAGTTTTTTGATGTTCGGTAAGAATTGGTAATTAACTCAGTTAAATCTCTCTTTGCAGACACTTGGTACAACTGGTTGGCAGGTTTGGAATTAAGAAGTGGTCTCATATTGCTAACCAGCTTACGGGGAGAGTGGGAAAGCAATGTAGAGAAAGATGGCACAACCATCTGCGGCCTGACATTAGGGTTTCATCCTTTTTCCCCTTAATTCTTCACTATTTCACAACCTTCATTAACATATAAATTACATACAAGCATACATATAGCTCATGTTCATTCACTAAAGTTTAATAATCTTTTAAATAAAAACAAAAGATTTATGCAAATATATACAATTACTCATAATTTTATTAATGTATATACACACAAAGATAAATGGCTACATATATGGCATATGCATATATTTGGTTATATTTTTATTAAAAAACACTGTAATTCTAATTTTTTTACATCAGTTGTAAAATATATAATTACTTTATTTGTCCGTTTATACGTTTTGTGAAGTTTTTATGGACATTGTATTGTCCAGTATTTGTCAATATCTGCTTGACAGCGCAGAAACATGCGTTTCGACCAGCAGTTAAGGTGGATTGCAGAATTTGGATTAGACTGTAATAATTAACCATGACAAGTCATGAATTTCCGAAACAACCCATGCCAGGGTTAGCTTATGCGTATATATCAGAATTCGAATTTATTTCAATTTGAATTATTAAATTATGGGTAATACTAGAGTGACTATTTATTTAGACCATATTTTGTAAGTTATATATGTGGTTATTGATGATTAGGTCGAGCATTTTTTAAATCATATTTATAAACTATGTGATGCTTCACCAATAAGAAAAAAACATGTTAATCATCAATAACTGCGTTATATTGTTTACAAAATATGGTCTAAATAGGGGTCTTCGATATGGACCAAAATTAGGCTAAAGTCCAACCCATTCCGAGACATAAAATTTATTCACTTTTTAATTATAAGTTTGAATTGTTGTATATTATTGATCTAAATTACTCTTCAATCCTTACTCTTTTGTAAATATGTAGTGAATTTTGATTGTATAATTTATAATGAAGTTTTTCACTCAAAAACAATTTATGATGAAATTCAAATTTATTTAATTTGCTTTTTCACATATATAAATGACCTTCTACAATTATAAAAATATTAATTATTATCACGATAAAAAAATTATTAAGTTAATTTTGATTTGTAACAAATAATTGCATAGGATCAAGTAGGATTACCCTTTTTCCTTCTCTGATTTGATGCTATTGAACTAAGGTGACGATGCATGCATCTTCAGTTTTCCTTGTTAAAACCCTAGGACTATACATTAGCATATACGTAGTACGTACTACATGCATTGTTTTCTACTTGGACATGCTAACAGAAAGTTGACAGTTACAGATCAAATCTAGTTAGCTGGTGCATAACGTTGGTTTTAATTAAACGAGTTGTTGTTTACCAGATCAATCAGCTTTTGAATTTTATATATTATCTTAGAAGCATATGTATTCAGATACGTAAATATGTGCGTGAATATAATTCTCTCTCTGCACTTCATCTTCTTCCTCTGATCTTCATTCTCTGCCTCTGTTCATCTCTGCTTGGTTTAACATACTCAGATAGTTAAATACATAATGCGTTCATGCAACTAATTAAATCTGTGTTGAAACTTGCAGAAAGAAATGTGGAGCGAGGAAGAGGACAAGATACTGATCGAAGCCCACAAGAAAATGGGGAACAGATGGGCAGAAATGGCAAAGATATTGCCTGGGAGAACAGAAAACACCATCAAGAATCACTGGAACGCAACAAAGAGGAAGCAAAACTCAAAAAGGAAGAGCAACAAGCAGGACTCCTCCAATAACAATTACAATGAGAGCTCTATGTTGCAGGATTACATCCGGACCGTGGTCAATAGCACTACTACTGGTACTCCTAGTACTGCTTCCGCCAACTCTACCGGAACTATGGAGAACAAAGCGGTGCTGTCGTCTGTGGTCTCACCGGATCATCAGTCTGGGATGCACATTAATCAGAACAACATTGTCGAGAGCCCAGACGCAACCAACTCCGCGAATTGGGATCTCACGGGTTATCGTCCAGAACCTTTTGACAGTGAGGCCTCCAACATGAACAATCACATGGGTGATGGTGTTACAACTCTTTCTGATTTAGACAAGAGTAACATGTTCAATATTTTTGAAAGCTATGGACTTGGTGGGTACCTGCAGCAGAGAATGGCAAGCAGCAGCACTTCTAGGGTTAAGGATCCGAGCTGCAGCATGGAGTATGAACTGTCATTTTTTCCATTGGAGATGAACAACTTTATGCAGGGACATGATGACCATGTCAAGAAAGAGCTGGATATTATGGAGATGCTCCATTTCAAGGGAAATATGTGAGCTTTCGTGCAGCTGCAGGAAGAGCTTTGTCGGCAGCCTGCCCCTAGCTATTTCGTATGTTGCCATTCTGTTGTTGTTTTTGTGCGTCATCAGGGTTTCATGTTTAGAAGCGTTCAGACTTGTATTTCCTTTTAGCATTTTCATTTGGATAGTTTCTAATTGGACCACAGTGTTGATGTTGTTTCAACTTTAGTTTTGTTTTGTTTATGCATGTTTGTTCAAATTTGCTATCTATTTATTTATGTAGAGATGTTTTGTAATATGCCATCTATATATGTCGTCATTATTATTGATATTGTCTATATTGTGAATTGATAAATATCAAAATGTGGTCGATATGGTCATCGACATTCTGTTATTATTGTGCTCACACAAGTACAGTTAACTACACCATATAACGACTATACTTTGATGACTATATATAATATATATGAGGTTTTGTATTTAGCTAGAAATTCGAAATCCACATAAAGTGCTTGGAAAGTAAGCAATATGCATAATTGGAAATTGATTAAGATTGATGCAGATTTGTGATAGCTCTTTGTTCCAAATAAGCATCACCATTGTTAGTAAGTTTGTAGGTTAACACTAGAGATCTTGCTTATGCCATGTTGGCCGTACCCGCGTCGCTAATAGAGCAATTAAGCCATTGTGGAAACCATAATGTATAACGCTTCTATTTTTTAATTCTGGATAGAGCCAATTATGCAAACTTTGGTAAAAGGATAAAAAATAAATGGGAGAGATTTATGCACTCTTTTTCACCTTCTTCTACCTCCTCTTATTTATAGCATTTGATTTGTCTAATTTGATGGCTAGAAATAGGGTTGTTTATGTAAAAGCTATCGTGCTTATAAGCGTTTTTGCTAGAAGCGTATCTATTAAGGCGAGTTGAAATTATAATTAACAGAAAATACAGCATTTTGATAAGCAGTCTCAATAGACCTTAAGGTGCTTATAGCTTAATTGGTTAACAACGTTTTCTATACTAAAATAAAAGTTGTTTTGGAGGCAACAAATATATCTTTGCATACAATATGATGAGCGCAAATACACACATATGTATGAATGTGTGTGTGTATGTGTATTATTGAACTAATTTTTTTTTTTTTTAACAAACGATAGTATTTATATTGAGTTTTACAATGGGCTTGTCATAATAATTAATGCGGTTCAACATCGTTTTTGGTGAGAATCGAACCTAAGACCTCTTACTTACAAGTGAAGAGAAATACCACTAGACCGTAGTAGTAAGTGATATTGAACTAATCTTTACAAATGATGATGATTTTCTTTTTTGCTTTCATGTAGGGTTTTTATGGTCGCTTATGTTTTTGTTAGCTCATCAATTTGATTCTTTGTGCTTCAAACTCATTAATTTCGTTCCTTATCTCCTAATTTAGTCATCAATGGGTCACTGCTGTTTATCTCCCCTAAAAGATCAGTTAGTATGTTGATGTAGCACCTATGTGAGGCCACACAGCCAATTACGTATTGCCAAATGGAGTAATAATAAGGTTATAGTAACAAACAGCATTCTCATGATGAACCGTCCATTTTTTCTATCCATATGAATGATTAAAAGATCTCCAAATTGAATAAATTTTTGCATCTATAATCTTTAGGTGATCTAAAGAGAATGAATGGTTCCGTTTATGATGTTCAGACGGTAAAGAATTATACTTCATAAGTAAGGGAACAAGTAAGTCCCCTGGAGACACAAGCATTGTCCTTATACATTTACAATTCATGCATCACTAATTGGGCTTTGGTTTGAGTCTCTTGGCTCTTGAATACAAGAACATTCCTGCGAGATCTAGCAAAAGCTGTCCCTGCAATTTCACCCAGTCATTGTTAAACAAGAAACCTAAACACTACAAGTGTGCCATATGTAAGAATGTGTAATACATGTAAATACACAAGGAACTTACCGAGTGCGTTCATCGGTGAGACGGGGGTTTGGAAGAAGATGACTGAGGAGACTATCACCACCAGACGCTTCACACAGTTTCCGACTGCGTGAGTCACTGGTGATACCATCTGCAGTATCATATAAGAAACCTGCATTACCACGCAAATTTGCAAAAATAACCAAGCCATTACAACCACTACTCATCACTTCTAAGCCAAAACGGTTTGTACACAGTAACCACTGAGATTTGTTACTGCAAGAAGTACGTAACTTCAATTTTCGGTTTAATTTAGAGAGTAGGAAACTATGGTGTCACCTGCTGGTAAGTGTGGAAGCAGAAGCCAGCCAGAAGTGATCTTACGCATAACTCTTTGATATTCAATCCTTGGTTTTCCAGGTATACATGTAATATTATCAATTATACAACAATGTGTACAGAAAAGCTAGCTACTTGATGAAGCACTTCTAACTGCTTTTTCGTGAAGCACTTAGTAATAGTACTTACAGCAGAGTGCAGGTAAGGAGTAGTAAATTTAACGCCTTCCAATAGAATCGCCGAAGGAACCAACAGGATGAAGGAAATGATAGTGATCACTGAGAAGAGATTGATATTGTCCAATGATTCCTATCACAAAACAAAATTGTTGAGCCTCATGAAGAAATTTTGAAAATAAGGAAATTGCACCTGCAGGTTAATTAGTTTTACCTCTTTTTTTAACCATGAACTTCTTGCTGAGTACATTACGCGATTGGTTTGTAACATTAGAGGCCATTGCACTACCGAAACCGATCCTGTTGCAAAACATACAATAGTTAAACCGATCCTGTTAGAACTTGTTCCTTTTAGCGGACTCTAATCCAAGAACCTGCCCATGAATTCAACTCGTGCATAAATTTGTGTTCCCGGATGTCTTACCATTTAAAAGGCCTCAGTGAAGGATGCCAATGCCACTCCACCTACAATCAGTACAAGAGAAGAAACCACCCAAATACTCGGCCTCTGTGTGGACAGCAATCAGCAGTCAGCCTGATCAGAAAGCTGAAAGCCAAATTGCTTCATCATCAATGACATAGATTACCCAACAATCATACCGCAAGTTTGCAACCGCCTTCATAATGATTGATTCAAGTACGAAGAAAGAAGAAGAAGAAAAGTTGTTACCTCAGCAAGCAAAAGAGCAGAGAATACAACTGTGAAGAAGGGCTCCATGGCCTTGATTGTGTGAGTGAAGTAAACAGCAATTTTCCCAAGACTAATGTTAGTCAATAAGTTTCCGACCGTGTGCCACAGCCAGCGGTAGAATTGCTGCAAGCTGCCACCCAAGTCGAAAGATTTCAAAGCGACAGAGAAATGGCATACTACTAATCAACTAGTACTATCCCAACTTGTATTTAACCACCTACTGTTTTGGGTTTATACAAAAGGTCTCGGTGCTATTAGTAATGAAACTACATATTATATGTTGTATTCTACTCCATTCGACATGGGATAAGTAGCTACCTGTGAGCGAGTGAGATTTGGTCTAGGGTAGAGGTTAAGAGCCCACATCAGGATAACATCACAGTCCCGCAGCCAAACTGAAACGCTGTGACCGTTGCTGGAAATGGATAGACTTTCAGAACCTATGAACAAGCTCTGGCCTTCAAATTCTAGCTTCTTTTAGACCAAAATCGACGAAAACAAGAAGCGAAAACATGCATTTCAAAACAAGAAAAGACAATGAAAAACCGTAGGGAGAACAGATGGATAAAGACATAGCATGTACCTGTTTGTTGTAGATGTTGAAGTAAATATTCAAAAGGTACATATAACCAAGCTGCAAGGTCTTAACCAATCCGCTCTGCTTCGAGGCCTCGTCAGCACTCTCGGGCACAGAAGCAGCCCTGGCCGTCAAATGATCATACCTACGATTTGAGAAAATGAAGGAAGCATTCGAAGAAGAAAAAGTGTAAAGAGCTGTTTGCTATGAAAGCCTGTGAACTTTAGTCAGATTGTCAACATGTATCAAGGACGTCGAGGGTAAAAGCTGAAAGGCTTTAGGAATAGAGTTTCGACATGGAGGTTTGAGAAACGAGGTGGAAGGAGACAGAGCAAGCGTAGTGCTCTGCATCTTGATCTGAAGGTTTGGATTTTGGAAAGCAAAGCAAGTGGAGAAAGAGGCGCAGGTCTTTAACGCTTTCAAGTCTCTGCTGAATACAAAACTGAAGGACGAATGGCGACTTTACAATTTTAGCATTAAACTAAGTTCCACTCCAAAACCAATTAACGACGTGAAGAGTAGCCCAACTCCTTATAAGGAGTTGAGAAAGGGACTGAACACAAAATGGACATGCATTTTCGCTGTCAAAATTTGCTAACTTTCCGAATCATCAGAAGAATTCACGATACAGAAACAGCAAAAACGAAACCTCATCCCAACTATTTGGGGTATTCACCTTACATAGACCTGAACACAAAATGGACAAGCATTTCGGGTTTAATCGGGGTAACGCCATAACACAAGGTGCGAAGTTCACCACATTCAAGAATCAAGCTGTATGTCTATAACTAGATTAAAGTTGCATACTTCACAGGCATTTGAGTCTTGCAAATGTTAAATATCCAGTGTGGCCTCTGGCCTCGCTGCACGGCCTGGCCATGACCGTGGGAGAACCTGTCGTTTCCTGCGCATTGCTTCCTTCATTTGATCGATGTCGCCTTTTACATGGATGAGATCCAACAGAACCAGCTTCGTCGCCTTAGAAGTCATCCAATTTCCATTCTCGAACTTCATATGTGTGAAGGAGTATCTCAAACGTCCTTATATCTAAACAAATGCAGAAGATCCAGATCTTAGCGTGAGAAATACATTTGTGAGAGGAAACACTTGAAAGAAACAAAGTAAGTCCAAAAAACAACACATCACAAAGCACAAAACGAGATAACTGCATCAAAAAGCCTACCCGTAAAGCTTGATCTCATAGTCTCTGACGCTCGTTGCACCTGCTCAATACACGGGGAGAAGGAGCATAGTACCCCATCTTGTTTCAACATTTTCGCAGCTGAAGGGATAGCCAGCCAAGGTTGGGGTAAGTCCAGGAAGACAGAATCTGCCCTTCCAGAAAACTCATCCGGAAATCCTTCTCCCTGAATATCTCTAACTCGTACAGTGACCAAGTTGCTTAATCCTGTCTTCTCAAAATCCTCCCTACAAAAGTAAAAATCTTGTCAGCCTTTCAGTAACGTTAACCTACTTGAAACACAAGAAATGGCTTAATGTAAGTACAGAAACCGCTGGCTTCACGCGAAAATTACACCGCTTAATTTTCTTCAGTTTCTGTTTAAGTCGAACAAAGTTTTTGTGACGAAAAGTAATCATGAACTTATTTCACAATTCATATATCGAACTCAAAGTTCACATCTTCTGAAAGGCGGACCGTAAGTAAATCTGGGACACCAAAACAAACCGAAACCAATTCACACCAAAGCCATAACAAAACAACAAAAACAGCAGAGATTTCGATTTCCTACCTAGCAGAGACCGCGCGTTGTTCATGGAAATCAAACGTATAGACATGTCCTGTAGGAGCAACAGCCCTTGCAAGCGAAGTAGTCAAAGATCCACTCCCGGTCCCCGACTCGAGAACCAAACATCCCGGAACCAATTCCAAGAACATGATCACAAAGCTAATGTCTGCAATGTACAGAATCTGAGTCCTGTGGCTTAAAACCAAAGTCCAAAGCTCGGGTGTCGGAGCTAACAAGTAAACAAATCCTCCCTTGCTGCTGAAAACCTTGGAACCAAACTGCTTCCCTATCCAGTCTGAATGCTTAAACACGCCGAACCGGTTTCCGAGCACAGAACCGGCACACACTTCGACAGCTTTCATGGTATCATACTTCTCGTAGACAATGACCAAATCTCCATCACTAATGCAACGAGTAAAAGACAGCTTCTTTGTCGGATCAACAGGCAACATCCTTAAACCTGAATCTTTTTATGTAAATTCACATACATAAGTATAAACAAATTTAATATAAAAATTCAGCATTACAATAAAAAGGGCAATCCTTTATCATACAACAAAAATTTTAGAAACCAAGCTCGAATCCCTCTCCCCACTCCGTTGTAAATTAAAATAGTTTAGAATATCGTAGCTTTACAAAATATTAACAAAAGAAAGATAATAATATAAAAAAGCTGCAGTAAAACTAAAATATGCTTACTTTTTTCAATCAAGCAGGTGATACCGAACCCCTCAAACAGTAGCTGCAGAAGAAGAACCAGAGTAGGATGACTGGGTTCACTGGAAGGACAGAGGAGGAAGAAGAAGAAGAAGAGGATGGAAGGGAAACTGCGTTTCTGCTTCACAGATTCAGTGAAGAGAGAAGGATGGACTCTTAGGTTGAGGATTCGAAGGGCTTTTTTTGTTAAAGAGGAAGAGAGAGACGAGAGGGATGGAAAGAGTGAGAAAGACGAGATGGGGTGCGGGTGCGGCAGTTAGGGGTTTGAATATGAAAAAATTTGCACTATTTTTTACCGCATACTTATTAATTTTTGTTTATTAATTTTTTTTAATTCATTTAATTTAACGTCAAAGGTTATATGGCTAAAGGGAGTCATTTGACACTCATTCGATTGGAGATGGCCTAAGGAGAGGGGTGGGCTTAACCTCATAATGGGCTAGCAATAATGTGGTTCAAATTCGCCTTTAACGATAATCAAACTTATGACCTCTTATTTGCAAGTGAAATGAGTGTGTTATAGCACCATTCAAAATTAAGAAGAGCGTAAAATGAGTGTGTTATAGCACTATCCAAAATTTAAAGGGAAATTTGGTTAAATGCGCCCAAAAAGGTTTTTACCTCCTTTTAAAAACTTTTATTTTTCTAAAAAAGGGGATAGCTTGCTAATATTACGATGTAATAATATTCTTCTTCATTTGTAATTGAGAGGTTTTATATTTTATTCTCACTAAAAGAGAATTTGAATCAACGTTATTGCTAGCCCATTGTAAGACTTACTCCCCTACCATCTTATTGTAGATAATATCATTTGTTCAAAAAAAAGAAAGGAAACTAATGGCGAACCACGGTTATCCACCCATTCCGTGCCGAGATGAAGCTAATTTGAAATTACATCCGACACGTGGCCACGATGAAACAGGTTCACAGCTTACAAACTTTTAGATATCTACCTTTTTTCCCTACTACGGTATGTTTTGCACTAATGGTGAGGTTAAAACATTACCTCCTGTCAAAATTGTTTCCCACTTTATTTTTTTAAAACTAATGTATTCGAGTCTTTAACCAACTAATCATTAGAAACCCCCCGCGCCTGACCCCGTAATATTTGGAAAACGAGAAACTCTTAACAATTGCTAGGTGGGTCGAAACCCAGACCACTTGAGAGCAAACCAAGAGCCTAACCGCTAGAGCAACAACTCTTAGGTTCCACCCCCCGCTCCTCTTATCAATGTCAAGGACGAGATATGGTGTAACCAGCAAGACAGATGAAACTCACATCAAAACTCAACCAATTATATAGAACATTCAGGCACAGTACTGAAACACATCCGAATCGAAACATAAAAATACTGAGATTATACACATACAAGTTGTGCGTTGTGTTCTGAAAAGTTGTAACATATCAACAGAAGCACATTACTGAAATTATTCTACTTTACTACAATTTATCCAACTATCATCTAACTCCTTTAAGCAGAAGTTTTGGCAACAGCTCCGGCTTGAGTCAGCAGAGGGACCAATTTTCCTTCCTTGTGCAACGCCGTTGTTTCTGCACAACGACATCAAATAATATTATTCGATAAGATAACAAACTAATGTCAAAGACATACAATTCCAATAGCCATGGTTAAGGCGGGATTTGGCTCTGTTATTGGGGTATATCCTCGGTTGTATCTAAGAATCTATTGTGGTTAAGGGATTCGAAATCTTACTGTCACATCCACCGATGTGGTTTCCACCAATGAAAACATTGGGCACAGTCCGCAGGCCAGTCCACTCTCCCAAAGCTGATTGTATCTGAGCTCCGTCACCTTCAAAATGCAAGAACAAAGCCGGCATCAATAAAACTCGGATAAAATTTGTACTTCAAAAATAACACATGCTGCATTAGATTGAGAAGGGACATGTCCATCTCATTTCACAAAATATAACGTGAGCAATCGGTACGTAAAAAAAGTCATCTCGCACCCCATAATAAGACTTAAGGTTTAACGACACGAGACCTAACCTCAAAACTAGTTGAAATAATCACAGCATTGCTAGTTTCACCCACTGTTTTAAAAATCCCCGGCTAGCGCTGCCTAGGCCCCGCTTAGACGCTAGGCGGCTGGCCACCTTCCCGATTAATGCCTAGACGTTTGAAAATTAAGAAATGATGCCTAGACCTGCTGAGGCGCCTGCCTAGACCGCCTCCTAGGCACCCGTCTAGCCCGTCCAGACCCGCTTAGACACCTACCTAGATTGCGACTCACTTAGATAGAAAATAGATAATTTTCCTTTTGCATTTTATTATTTCCAATAAATTGTAAGAGACTTATTAAACATTTAAATAAACACACATTATATGTTTGCTCTCCATATTTTCATTATGTTCCAATACTTCATAATATATATGTCATTCTATTTTCTAGTTCATGATGAAATTATACATATTTTAAGTATAAACAGACACTTATTTACACAAAATACAATAGATTTACTTAAATCCGCCAAGTTTGCCTAGGTGCCCACCTAGGCTCCATCTAGCTGTCTAGGCGTTAGGCCCCAACCCGCCGTTCGATTAGCGCTTAGCGCCTTTTAGAACCTTGGTTTCACCATGTCCAAGCATCAAAAGTGACATAATCAAGAGTTAGTCCCAACTTTCTTCAGTTGAGCTATTTTCTAATCTAGTCTAAACTACGTGAGGGGAAATATGAACTTGGGTGCGGAGGGTGCGAAATAGTCCCATTAAACACAAGGAAAATGGAACTCGTAAAACCACCAATTTCCAGTTAACAATTTGACTTCTTCCAACAACACATACATTTGTGAGGTAGCTCAAAAACAAACTTTACATCCAATACAGATTGCGCAACTGCGAGTATCAAGTTTTGACCGGCTATCATATGTAATTAGCAAACAAAAGAAAAATTCACCCCGTAATCCAATACCGAATGATACAAAGGGACAAGTTTATAATTCTTCAAATGACAAATCCAAAACAACCAAACAAGGAGGACTTTTATATGTATGTATGTAAACCAAATATATGATATGCATACAGGGCCGGCACTAAGGGTAGCCGGGGCAGGTGGCTCCCAATGTATAAAGGGTCAGCCCCACTTCGAAGTCTCGCCAAGGGCCCCAAACTCTCAGAGCCGGCCTGTATGCATACATACATACATGCACAGATATGCATATAAACATACGCATACGAACAATATGTTATTACAGCTAAAATTAGTTAGAGAGAAAAAGAAACTGACTTTCTTTGTCCAACTCAATGGCCTTGTAGGTGACTCCCAATTGAGTCAAGAGCTGCTTCACGTTCACGCAGAACGGGCAATTCGTCTTGCTGCAATTACAGATCCATATATATATATATATATATATATATATATATATATATATATATATATATATATATAACAATTAGCATTTCTTAAATGCGAGATTTACTAATCAATAATCGTGATTAAATTCCAAAGAGAAAAAATAAGAACCTGAAGACGACGACCGAATTGGAGGACACGAGCTCCTGCGCCTTTGTCAATGCCATAACGCTATCTCAAAATCCCAATTCGCGAACCCTAAATTCTGGATTCCTAACAATCTTCTTCTCTCAACTCTCTCTCCGAAAAATGCAGAGAGCGAATGTATATATGCATATGTAGTGGGTGGCGCCACGCGTACTTCGATTTTTCTATTGGTTCTCGTTGGACACCTAATGGGCTTTTGTCTTTTTTCTAAACCACAAGATTCGTTAACAACGGCTGACGTTCTTTGCTGTCCAAGATCGTCAAGTTATACCACCACTCTACCCACGTCATGGGGTCCGTCAATGTCCGTTTTACGTGAGAAAATCGCAATTGAAATTTTAAAGGGGGTATTTTATTTAAACACATCTAATCTCTTTCTATACTCAATTTACTTTCTACACCTATATTACTTTTAATTAAATTATCTATATCTCTTTAACCTCAAATTTATTACCTAAATTACCCTCACAAATCCAGTTCAATTTATAAATTTATCTTTACACCCATTTAGAAATAAAAACTCAAAAACCAGTGTTCTGCATCTCATTCAAGAATTATTTGATGAGATGAATGAACAGGATGAGGTCACTTATGGCTCATTAGTTTCGGGGTACATGTTTCATAGGTTTGTTAACAAAGCCGTAGTTGTTTTTCGAGATAGTAAGAAGCCAAAGTTAAGTAATTGGAATGCTATGATTTCTGGTTTAGTTTAGAACAATCAGCATGAAGAGGCATTAAATTTAATTCGCGTAATGCAGGCATGCAGTTGCAGACCAAATACCGTGACATTGTCAAGTATGCTTCCCCCAGTATCGTATTTATCAAATCTGAAAGTCAAAGAGGAAGTACATGCTTATGTTGTTAGAAACAATTTAATTTGTCTGTGCACAAAGGGATTTAGATCAAGCAAAAATCAGTGTGCTGCAAGTGCTATTATACATCGACAGTGGCGAAGCCAGGATTTATCGGGGGGAGGGGCGAACTTCCGGCAATTTGTAAACCCAATCTCAGTGAAGACATCACTTCCGGCAGTTCCCTCTTTATCAAAATCACACTTGAATAGATAGCAATAACGGCAAAATGCGGTATCTTTTACTATACTATACTCCAACCACTTAAAATTATCAAACCAACGGGTGACAAAACATCGATTATTGCTAACTTTTCTGGGCATGATGTGATCTTTAGGTTGACAAGGATTGTTTTAGGGATAATGTCGGCGAATTGCTTCACGATAATTAGGTGGATAATCAAGCATTCGACGTCTATGTCCAGGGTCTACATGAAGATTAGCCAGTATTTCATCCAACTCAGTGACCTCACTTTGTTGGGAACTACTCGGAATACTCGAAGAAGAAATATTTAGAATATTCGAAGGAGGACTACTCGGAATATTCGAAGAAGGACTAGCCGGAATATTTGAAGGAGGATTTAAACATTATTTCTTATAGTATCGTTCCATTGTTAACTGTATATGAAAAAGAAAAAAAAGTCTTAGACTCTTAATTCTAGAGTAAGCTATACTATAGTCAATATGAGTACTAACTAATTAAACCAACAATTCAATTAATCAATACCAATATTCATATAAATTATTTAATACACAAAAAATCAATTAATAAATTAATATCAATAATCAAGAATTAAATTTTTACTCTAGACAATAATTTCATTCATCAATAAATATTTATATGCAAAAATCAATAATCAATAACTATATTAGTGTATTACTCTATGATT